AAGTGTTTGAGATTTCTAAATGATAAGTTTCTATAGATTTCTTATTGATGTCCTCTTAAAAACTTGTATTTAATCCAAAAAGGCATCAACTTATGCTTTTTAAAAATGGATCAATCCTTGCCTGGCTGGTGTGGTTCAGTGGTTGGGTGTTGACCTATGAACCAGGAGGTCATGATTCGATTCCCAGTCAGGGCACATGCCCAGGTTGCAGGCTCGATCCCCATTTGGGGAGCAGGGGGCGTGCAGGAGGCAGCAGATCAGTGATTTTTCTCTCATCATTGATGTTTCTATCTCTCCCTCCCTCACCCTTCTTCTCTCTGAAATCAATAAAAAATATGTATTTTTTTAAAAAGTATCAATCTTTCCAAATGAAATGTTGGGTGAAAGAAGTCACAAAAGAGACCTGCAGAACTTTTCCTTTACAGAAAGTTCAATACAGGCCAAGGACGCTGTGAGTTAGAAGTCAGGACAGCAGTTACCCTTGCTTTGAGAGAGAGGAGAGCTGCTGAAGTGACCTGGGTCCGGGTTTTATAGGTGTTCCCTTGGGAAGATTCACTGACTTTTTATTCTTAAGTAAAACTCTTTTAAGTGCCTTGTTTTCATAGGTGGTAGTTTAAATGCTTTCAATTTGAAGAACTGTTCTTATACATTTATTCTTATTATAAACTGCCATCTCCCAACAAAAGTCAATTACCCCTTTTTGTTGTTGTGCCTGAACACAGTGTATTTCTTTTGAATTCTTGGAGCTTCCTTCTCACCAACCCAGTTGCCATGGGGCCATCATCAGATGCTTGCCAAAACAGCTTTCTTGCTTACACTTTTTAAGATGTTATGGGAGGAACGGTATTAAAGACGGTCCCCAGTTAGGATGTTAATCTGTATCAAAACCGACACTGCTAGAAATGTTCTCATGGAATTCTGATAAGGCTCAGAGCACAGCTTTAGTCAGCTTCTTATAAGTAAACAATTTCACACGGATATTTTTCCATATAAATGGTTTCAGAAGAGCACAAGTAGTCGAACAACAATAGCTCTATCATTTTTGAAATGTCCCTTGAGGCCAGAGCCTAAAGGAAATGAGATTGAGGCTAGAAATTATTTTGAGCCAAACTACATTTTAATAAAAATGGAAATTGATGGTCACAGCCATGTTGTGTCTCTGGGCTTCTTATGTTAAACTGAATCCATAATCTTCTGACCACAGGAAACAGGAAGAACTTAAGATTCTGTGGGTCAGCAAAACCTTTCGCAGTCATGGTTTAGGGACTCTGGCCTCTGCGAATCATAAATATTACGGGTCATGCTCAGGATGCTGAGCAGAGTTCTTGCAAACCATTGCTTCTCTTCCTAAATGTGACCAGGTGTTTGTTTGTTTGTTTTTTGCTTCAAATCAGTTTAAATTTTTTTAAAAAATGTTTCTGTCAGCTCTTTACACACTGTGGCTTCCCCCTACAGGGTTCTATCTCCTCCTCGGAAGAGGAAAGACATATTTCCATCAGGAGACCTAAAACGCCAACCTCAAGTGACTTCCCTGATCTTAATACTCAGACGAACTGGGCCCAGTCTCTTCCCTTGCCAACACCAGAAGAGAAGATGCGACTGCACGCCCAGACAGTCCAGGCTGATGTGGTTCCTATTAACATAACCGGTATGCTTCGCTGTGTAGACAAGGTTCAAAATGTACTCCGGAGAATGGCTGTGGCTTTTTGTTGTTGTTGTCATATGCACTTAGCATTTTATGCATCAGAGGGAAAGCTGTAATATGTGTATATTCCTTTGTTTAATGAAGGGAATACTAAAACATATTTGTGCGTGTACATGTAAAATAGCTATTGCTTTTAAGTTAGAAGACTGTGTCACCAGAGATTGATGTGGAAGAACTCCATGGTCCTGCCACTCATTTAAAGCCTGTCTTTTTCAATTGACTTACCTTTAAAAAGTATTTTGATTATATGGAGACATATTCTAAATGTGATTTTGGATAAGAAAAATTATGTGTTATTTTTTTTCCTAAAGGGCTATTTTAAGTAATATTTATAAAAGTAAAGAAATAACAATTTTGTGGTATTTCTTAATGATAGATTTTACCTTTTTGTTTTCTCAGGTAAAAGAGGGAAAAATTACTTGAAATAAAAATATCAAGTGAATTAACAATAATAACTATAAAACATATTTTTTAAAAAACTCAATAGGGTGATAAAGTTATATTTAGATCCCTAAAATTTGAATTCTACAATCTTCAAATAAAAGTTCATTTTTAATATAAATTTTTAGAATATAAATATTAGTTGCCACATGTAAAATTCAAGTTCTTTTAGAATAGTATGGTCAAGTTTTAATCACCTGTGATAATTAAAGGTGACAAATTACAAGGTACATGAAGTTCAAAGTCAGTATTTCACAAACTTAGATGAGCTGTTAAAAATAACAAAATTTTCCTGTTTTGTCACATTGGTAGGCATGTACACAGTGCAAAATAGATGTGTTAAGAGTTAATAGCTTCAGCCATTGGACTGTGTGTTAGAAAGAAACAGAGTACCGATCATCATCATTGATTATCAGTCCATACAAAGCAAGGCTTACAGGGCTAGAATCTAAAAGAAATCAGGTGACCAGTAAGGATGAGTTTTCATTAAAAATTAGGGTGAAAACCATAGCACACTTGCTGCATTTCTGAGACTATTGCTGTTGACTGCCATTAGAAAGCTTTTTGCCATGGCATTGGTTAACTTTTAAAGGACTAATGACATTTTGATAGTTATTGGAGAATTTTTAAAAACCTTGCACTTAAAAATTACTTTTAGAACTCATTTTGAATTCCAGAGAAATGTAATAAATAAGTGCATGAATTATTTTAAATTCCATGTGCATTTCACACATTTATTGTGCATAAGCCTTAAAGGAAGAATATCATGGCACTTTAATCCATTTTCTTTGCAGATAACATCATTGATCTTTCTGAATATGATTCTTGTTCACCTAGAGATCATATTTTTTTAAAGATTATTATTATAAGTAGCTATGTTTCAGAACAAAGTATAATGTTTATTGCTCAATGAAATACATAGGTGCATATTTTCTGTAAGAATATGCATTACATTATTTGATTGATTAAATGCAGCAGAAATGTAATTATGTATGATTAAATGCCTCAGGAATAATATTATAAATAGATTGTGCTATGAAATATGACAATCCATAATGGAATTAGGATAAAATATATTATTGTGACATTAGTAAATTTAAAGCAGAGTAACTAGAATTTTAGGAGTAATGAATTATTTACAATGAAATGCATTGTCACAACAGGAGACAGTGTCCTTTCCTTGAGCTTTAATTCTCTCCCGTTTGATATGAATTACATAAAGTTTAGAAGGAGGCCTTCAGAATGCCACATAAGAAAGGTTAATGACCAAAAAAAGAGCAATATGAGTTATATCAAAATGCAGTTTATTTTTGTGTGATTAATGTTTTTAGAAATGTAGAAATTAAATATAATTCCTAATTACATATGTATTGATCCACTTTCTGGATACATGTGTTCACACACACATACATATATTTCATAAAGGGAGTAGTTTTTCTATAATTCTGGTATTAAAAGGCATCAAATTAAAAATTGTCACTTTTAGTAGTTGAATTGACATGGGTTAGACAGTTTCCTACTATTTAAATGACAGTTTCTAAAGCCCCAGATGACTCTTGAGATAAAAATGTACCTTCCTGTTGGGAATTGTCAAATGCTCATTTATTTGGGTAAACATTGACCTTCTAGTTTGATTTTCAGTAAGGTTCAGCTGGGGGAAAAGTGCTGACAAATATATTACTTCAAATCAAAAGTAAAACCCACCAGGCATAGAGGTAGAACATAAGCGCAATGAGCTGCAAGCTTGAAAACCAATTTAACCCCTTTAGTTGTAGTTCTATGGGACTCAGCATGTTCTAAATGTTGAAGAGAAAAAAATGTTCAAAGTAAAATGTATATATGAGTATGTTTCATAATCTGCCATGTGGGATAACAACTCTTCCACCTGGAAAGTAAGAGTGGGTAAACATACTTAAGCAGTTTTTACAAACTGACTTTGTATTGATGTTTGAGCCAGCAAAATTTATTTCTAAGTAGTAAGCATGACTGACTAATGCCATTTTTCAGTGAAAGAGAATGATTCAATTCCTCTCAGATATTTACTGAATATTTAGTATTTACTGAATAACTACTTTGTGTCAGGCATTGACATGAATCGTAGGCCCTGCCTTCAAGAAATGTATAGTCCAGCAGGGATCACAGTCCTTTTAGGTAACAGTGCAAGATGGAGAGTTTGACGCCTTTATTTTTATTTATTTAATTGATAACTTTTTTCTCCCAAAATATTTATATTGATTTCAGAGGGGAAGGAAGAGGGAGAGAGAGATAGAAACATCAATGATGAGAGAGTATCTTTAATCAGCTGCCTCCTGCACGTCCCCCACTGGGAATCTATCAGGCATGTGCCCTTGACTGGAATCGAACCCGGGACCCTTTGGTCCACAGGCCAACACTCTGAACATTGAGCCAAACCAGCTAGGGCGAGTTTGACATCTTTAATGGTGATGTCTATCCTCATGGTTTGTTTATTAATTTCCTGGGAGCTTGAGTGGTTTATCTTTTGTTTTTGTTTAGGAAGCAAAACTGGAGACTAAATGCAACTATCTATTAATGTTTTAACCATTCTTAATGCCTTGATACAAGGAAGTATTTTCCCCTCTGCTGCAGGGAACTAATGGACCATTGAAGGCATGACTTGCCACTTACAAACACCTTTATGTTGTTGCATAGAGCGACACGTTTGTTACAGCGATGGTACCTTCTGGTGTTTCAGGGTCTTCTCTCAATGGTTTCTGTTTTCCTCCATTAGGAACAAAGAGGCAAGCATTTTCAAGTTGAAGTTTGTTCCTTAGTAGGTGAAATGTAGTTTGATCATTCAGCTCTTTTATTGTCTGTTTTGATTAGATAAAGTTTTATTTACAACTTATTGCTATTACAATAGAAAGTACCTTGTTCACAAAATACCCACTTTGAATGTGTCAATATTGCTAAAAAGAGAGAATGCTTTTATACTTTTCTCACAACAAAAGAATGATGGAAGTACATAATTTGTGTGTATATATGTATTTTTAAAATCTCTTTTTGAGGAGATAACCACTTGACAAGGTCAGTGCTATAAAGCTTTCTTTAATTAAGCTGGCAAGTCATTTAAAGCAGACCAATCAAAAACTGATACTTTATTTTTTAATGTTTTCCCATTGTGTGTCAATCACACAAGCTCACATTCTCGAGAGAAAGAAGTCCTGTGGATCTGACATTTGGGGATTGATTGCAGCATTACCTGAATATCTAAATTCATATCAACTATTACAAGTGACTGTGAACTAAAGCAGTTCAGCTTTAACAACAGCAGTGCTACTGGGTCTCATTGTGGTAAAAGTACTTTATCATTATAAGGCTTTTATTTTTCATTATAGTATCTCACACCCCACAGCCCATTTCCGCAGTCTGTCCAAATTGTTGGCCTCCTTGACTGGAAGAAAAACTCCTCATCTGAGAGTTCTTGACTAAGTTATCTATTTCATCACATAGGATGGGACATTGTGATGGTCTCTGGAGTTGACTAAATGATTAAGATACATTTATTGCCATCATCACATGCACACTGATGTAATGAGTGATGTCTGAGACCAGAGGACCTATGTGAAACACTTCCCAGATGACTCATGTTTAAAATAATGCAGAATCACTCTTCTGGCTTGTTGTTAACAAATTTGCATTTTCCACTCCAGCTCATTTGGAAATGAGATCCAGGTGCTTCCTTTGGAAGGACACACACAGAGAAATTGGAAAAGAGCCTTATGATGATAATGTGCTTTCCTTCCTTTTTTGCCCTTCAGCATTCATTCATCACCATATGACTGGCTAACATCATTATTAATACCTTCTTAGCATTTGACAACAAGCTTCTGGAAGAAAGTGCATGGTGTCAGCTTGCTTGAAAATAACATTGCTTTGCTTGTTCTACTACCCTACATTAGGGGAGAATTTCGATCGCCAGGCCAGCCTTCGGCGGTCTCTAATTTACACAGACACTCTGGTAAGACGACCGAAGAAAGTCAAAAGGAGAAAGACTATTACAGGAGTCCCTGACAACATACAGAAGGAGCTAGGTATGGCTCATCAGAACTGTATTCTGTTGCCCCTCATTGCTGCTCAGCATTCCTATGCTAACCTCATCTGTGATGCTTATGAAATCGATACATTCTGATAGCCATTTGGTGCCCCAAAGGGCCAGCTTCTTATCTGAATGAGGCACTGGGTACAAATCTTAACACCCCATGCAGATGATGTATTGAATTTTGGTGACAAGGTAAAACGAGAAGTTAATATGAAAACTGTTCACTGGGATGGTAGAAATTTGAACAGTGGGGAATTGCCACAATGAAATTTACTTTTCATTTAGATTTTAAAGTTTTCATAAAACTGAAAACTCATTCTAGAACTTCAAGTTACGAATATGGACTTCATTAGTTATACTGACAATATCGGTGGCATTGTCATCAAAGAGACAGCAGTGGGGGATAATTAGTAACTACTACATGATAGAAAATAGTCATTTAGGTTGGATAGTGCATTTCTGTACTTCCAGTGAAACAACTTCATAGATTTTGGGTCAGTATTTTTCAACCTGTGATAAAAACAGAAAAAACACAATAAAAAAAACTAGCTAGTGGAGAGGTTGTTTACTTCATTATTCACTTATCCATTTGTTTCTGCTTATCTGTATATACACTGTGGATAATCTCTTCATTCTCCTCTTTCTATCTTCACTTCTTCTCTGTTTTTTAATGGGCCCATCAGGAATGTCTGCAGAGGCAACAAGGCAGACTGGGTCAGCACAGGGACTCTGGCGCCAGGCTGCTTGGATGTGGACCCGACCTCTGCCACTAACTCTCTGGGTGACCTCCGGCTGGTCCCTTCCCCTCTCTGAGTCTACTTCCTCATTCAAGGGAGGGTTGTTTGGATTTAATGAATTAATATAAGGGAAGCCCTCGGTATCTGGTACTACTCTGAGCATAATAGGTGCTATTTGTAATTACTGTAGGGAACTTAATACTACCCTTCTAGAAACGTGCCTTTCTCTTCAGCCAACCTCTGGACTTATTTCATTATGAGTACTTTCACCTGATGTTTTTACTGTCATTTATTGTTAAAGGTTTTACTCTAGAAACTCAGAAGTCTTCCTTCTGAGCTTGCCTCTTAGTTAAAATGAATGTATCCTAGCCATAGTGGTATGCCTGTTTTAGCACTTTTAGGTAGCATTTCAGCTTCCAGGGGTATAGACACTGTTCCTATGTATGTTTTTCCAGCACCCCTGCTCATTCTTCTTTACGTGACATTTCCTCTTTGACTGCCATTCAGTTCCCCAGTATGTATGCTCTGCCTTCCAGACTGCAGCAACGAGACAAGAATAGCAGAGCTTTGCTTCTGCTCTAGGTAGCTCCAGTGACCCAGATGACGTCCAGGTGCTCGTCTTATCCCATAACACGGGTTAGAACAAAGGCAAGATTACACCCACAGGATTGTGCGGTCTGCCTTTGGTTCATGCCCCCACATGCTGCTTTTTTTAGTGGCCAGTCCTCCTGTATCGTTCCTTCAAACTTTTTTTTCTCTTTTAGATGACGGCTAATTAATTTGAGAAATTAATATGTACATGTATGTCGGTAGGTGCTTAATGAGCTAATCTCTTACAGGACTCAGGTAACATTTGTGTCTTAACCAAAAGGAGCAACTTTAAAGATAGACCCTTTGTAAGATAACAAGGTTGATGTTTCAAGAGTAGGCTACATTTTAATTGGTTGGAAAGCTAGGTTTTGGATGGCTTTGTGCAAAGGGTGTAAGAATAGTTTGGCCCAGATAAGATGCACATGCACATTAAGTATTCAGTATAAATTATCTATATATGCATGTAATATGAATTCCAGAACTTCAGAATTATGAACATTTATCATTTTTTTTTTTTACTGAGCCAACCACTATGGGCCAATCCCTCACTTGCCTCTTTGACTTCACTGGAATGATTTGGCCAGCTTGGTAACTCATATCTTTTGTCATTGTAATATTTTTTAAATGAATGTTTGAGCCCCTGGAGCTCATGTTTATTTCTGTTTGGCATGTGACATGGAACCACTCTTAAGGCTGGAGGAAAGAAAATAGCTTTCCCCATATCATCAATGTTGTGATTGTTGCCAGATATGCAGCAGTTGATGTCATTGCACAGTCAATGATCTGACCTGGATCACAGCTGGAGGTCATCTGAGACAGCTATATCTAAGTTAGAACTAGTTAAAAAAAAAAAAAGACAATTAGACAATGACTCTCATTTTTTTTTTATCCTCACTCGAGGATATTTTGTCCATTAATTTTTAGAGAGTGTGAAAGAGGGTGGGAGAGAGAGAAACATTGATGTGAGAAAGACACATCGGTTGGTTGTCTCTCACACTTGCCCTGATTGAACCTGCAACCCTGGTACGTGCCTCTGACTGGGAATCGAACCCACAACCCTTTGGTGCAGGGCCAGTGCTCTAACCATTGTGCACACTGGCCAGGGCACAATGACTAGTTTTATAGGTAGACTAGTTGGAAGGAATGGTGGATAGAATAAGGGAAAAATAACATCTGGATGCAGTAACATTTAGGGAAAAAATTGAATCATATTTTTTTCTTTATTCATTTTAGGAATTTCTAGATGCCCTGTCCACTAAACACTACCCAGGCTGCCAGGGCTTTGGATTTTTAAAAAATCTAACCAGAGGTGTGTTTAGAATTAGAGTTATATTTATATTATGCTTAATTATATGCAGCTTTTACTTCAAAATACGTAAATGAACTCTAGAGACTAGCTAATATATAACACTTTAAAATCAAGGTTATAATATTTTCTATTTACTTCCAAAGTATATTTGATGACTTATTATTTGTTGCCTTCCATTTAAATAAATTGGATAAAATTTTAATTTTTTTCTTTAATCTTATCTTAAACAATACATTGAAATATATTTGAACTCCCTATTGTGAAGTTTCTTTTATTTTTTAGACTCAGATAGGATTATTTTGTTGATGTGTAATTATATTTGGCTATTTCTGGAACTTATCCCAATATGTGTTTCCCAAGCAGAAAAAGCCTCATTTAAAGGAATCTCCTTCTGAATAATTTCTGATAGTTTGTATTAAAAACATTACTAAAGACCTACCAAGACTTTTTAAGATTTATTTTTCAATTATACTTGACATGCAATAATATATTAGTTACAGGTGCTGATAAGACTTTTTAAAAATCCTATGTAAACCTTAAAATTAACTAGTCTATTTCTATCTTTGATTACATGTGTTCTTTAAGAATTGAAAAATCCTTATAGTATTATATAATAAGTAAAAAAATATATACATAATTATTTCTTTACACTATAGTTTTAAATCAGATAAATCCCATCAATATTTTTAGCAGCATCTGATTGTTTATAATTGTTTGTAGTTCTCTTGTTGTAGTCTGGTTTTGATCTTTAATTCTAATCAATGTAGCATCTGAATCTGTAATATTGTGATACTTTTTGTAGTGTGAAAATATTGGAGGACCTGTTTTGGGATTAGAATTTTGGTGGCCTCTCTGTTAAAATATATACGAGTTTTTCCATTTTTAAAGGTCTTTAGAAAAATAGTGTTATCTTAATAAGAAAATTGTACTTGGCTGTAGATGGGGAAGAAGTGGCTATATTCCCATTTTCAGAAGCCTAGAATGGTTTCACGTTCAAAATTGTAACCTGAAATAAGCAGGACATATGGTCCTTAGAGACAGTTAAAAATCTACCATTGATCCCATGCAAAAACTACTATAATTTTTGGGGGCGGGGGGCGGAGAAAGGATATTAAATCCCATCATTGAGTAGACTAGGTATCTTGAATGTTTGGAATCAAACTGGTACAAACTGATAGAGCCATACAGCCAGGCTCCCACCTTCTATACTTGTACCAAATGGCAAAACGAGTACCTTTTGTTTCTCTTTCCTCAAAGTGGATTTTTCTTCTGTCCTGCCCTCTTGCTTGCTCCTGCTCTTTCTAAGGGAGAACCTCATATGCATATGTGTGAGTGTGCGTGTGTGAGTTTGTGTGTATCTTTAGTGAGTGGGTACTTGGCAGAGGGGAAGGAGAAGGAAATGGATCCTGTTGGGTAGAGATACGAGCACAAAAATGATTCTCCATCAGCACCATGAAGGGAAGGGCTTTGTGCTGGGTGCCTGCCTCCACAGGGTGACATCTTCTTGTGGTTTGTACCAGGAACATTGCTGCCATTTTAGTTAAGTGCTTTGCTGTTTGGATGAGCACAAGGCTTTAGTTGCACTCGGGGATTAATGTGGGGTGTGGAGGGAGGGCTCCCGAATCCCATCGCCACCAGTGTGCTTGCCGGTGAGCAGTGGTGCTGGTGGGTGTCCAACCAGCATCACTCAGCAAGCCCCTGCTTGAGCTCTTTTCGGGTCCTTGCTGGGTGAGAACTGTCCAGAGAGAACTGTGGTTTTGCTACTAATTTTCAAGACTTAATTTGTCCTAATGATCACTCTGCATGAATTGATTTTTTTCTCTGTACATTTTGCCTTCATGATTTTTTTTAAAGCTTCTGTTCTTTCCTAGGTACTTGAAATCTAACTGTTATCTACATTTGAGGTGTTTTCTCCTCCACTTCCCTCTCTGTTTGGCCTTCCTTGTGCTTTTTTCTTTTTGTAAAGCTCCAAGAAATGAATAACGCTAATTTGAGGAAACGCTCACTGGATCAGTTCCCGCTGCTTTTTCCCTACCAGCACACAACAGATTGCTGTTGAATTTTGAATGTCACTGACAGACAGATGATAATGGCTTGAGTTGGATAATAGAAATGTTTGAAACACAGATGGGCCTATAAATCATTTTTCTTTTTCTTAGGATTTTCTTCTGCCACAGAAATTAACACTGTTTTATACCCATATCCTTCATAAATGGTATCTTTGGAGCCCTGTTGTTGAACTGCTACATTCATCTGTCTTTGGAAAAGTCAGTCCCTGAATGACAGACAGATGCTCTGGGCAGGCGCCTCGTAGGTGACTGGCTACTTTGAAATCTTTACAAAACCGAAAGGTTACTTGAAAAGTAAACCTTCCACAGAGCTCTCAGCCTTGATCTCAAAGGGGGTACCTAAGAATTCTATATGCAGCACTTAATCTATAGGAGGATTTGGAAGTACAAATTAAGTACATGAAATTCATAAGTACTTTTATTTTAGGAGCTATTTGGTAACTATTTAAACTCACTCAGGTGCCTATGGGAGGAAAGAAACTAGATGAAATAGAGAAGTTTGTGTGTGTGTGTTATGTTAAATACAGCGGAGTCAGAAAGAGGTGAGGGTTCAGGTAATGAACTAAGAGACCGAGTTTTAGGTAACAAGCCTCCTTCTGCTTTATCTGCAGCCTCTGGCACCGGCCAGGATGGTGTTGGTGGTCACTCGGTGTACGCCCCCGACCACTGCTCCACACTAGGAAGGCTTGGCGGCTGCCGGTTTGCGGGGCAGCGCTCGGAAACCCGGGACTCCAGCTGTCAGACGGAGGAGGTGAAGGTCGTGCCGCCTTCCATGCGGAGAATCAGGGCCCAGAAGGGGCAGGGCATCGCCGCCCAGATGAGCCACTTGTCAGGCTCCTCCGGGAACATGTCTGTGCTGAGCGATTCTGCGGGCATCGTGTTCCCCTCTCGCCTCAACACCGATGCGGGTTTCCACAGTCTCCCCCGATCCCGAGCGAGGGCCAGCATTCAGTCCCTGGAGCCCCGGACGGGCGTCCCGGGCCCCGCGCAAGACCTGGATGGCCCGTTCGAAAACCCAGGGCAGTTAGGAGGTGCCTCAAGGACTGGAACGCTTTTTAGGCCCAAGTCTCAGGAGCTGAGGCGCTTTGAGAGTGAAAACAGAGCAAGCCCAGCGTGCGTGGTGTCTCCCCACGGGACGTACAGCACCAGCGTCATCCCCAACGCCACCCTCTCCTCCTCCTCAGAGGTTATTGCTATCCAGACTGCTCAGAGTTTGGGGCAGCTGGACAGAATGACCAGCTCCTCTTCCCACACAAAGGTGAGATCCAGAGACCACCTGCTGCCCAGGCACTCTGGTGAAGGCGACCGCCCGTCTCCCGGTGGTTCCTGGAGTGAGGGCCCCTCCACCATCGTCTCGCGGGCTTTCGACCCCCACCCGCCCAGGGCAGCCACGCTCCTGGCCCTCTGTGACTCGGCAGTCTCCCTCAACACCCCAGCAAACCAGGAGAACGGGTCCCAAGCCATGGCCTATACCTGTAGAAGGAACCCGAACTTCCCAGCCCACCCCCAGGACGTGGACGGCCAGAGCGAGCCCAGTTACTTGGGAGGCGGGGGGCATGGTGGCGGGGAGCCCTGGGAATACAGTGCCTCGGGGAGCGGACGGGCATCCCCCCTGAAGCCTCACGTGGCGACTCCTGGTTGCTCCACTCCTGGAAGTAACATGAGCAGCTGCAGTTTGGACCACACGTGCCACAGAGAGGGCGCCAGGTCCCTGTACTCAGAGGACCACGATGGCTACTACGCATCTGTGCACCCCGATGCTGGGCCCGGGCCCGGGAGTCTGTGCAGCAGCAACAGCAGCAATGGCTTTGGGAACCCCAGGCACAGCGTGGTCAATGTTTTTGATGGAAGAGCTCCGAAGAACCAGGGGGACAAATCCCATTCTCGAAACATCTCCTTGAAGAAAGCAAAGAAGCCGCCCCTGCCCCCCTCTCGGACGGACTCGCTGCGCAGGGTCCCCAAGAAGAACGGCCAGGCCAACGGGCAGGTGCTCAACGAGAGCCTGATCGCCTCCCTCCAGCACTCGCTGCAGCTGAGCCTCCGGGGCCAGGGCGGCCTGTCGCCCTCGCAGAGCCCCTGCAGCGACCTGGAGGAGC